CATGCCCCCTTTAGAAAAAAACTATGAATCATTATTTGGTAACTTGGTGGCGGAAAGTTTCAGTACATGTTCTCTTTCTTCTAATTGAAACTCTCCATTTCTAGTCCTAATGAATAAGGATTTAACTATCGATCAGTCATCAATGCTATCCCCAAGGTTGACCATCATCAATGGATGCGACCCCTCAAGACTTCATCAGTAAACTAGCTGAAAATGGGATGTCTTTGAAGTTGAATAAAGAAGCAGCTTCACTCCAATGTATTATCTTATAGGCAATCTTTCTATACTTCTCCTCCTATTGTATAAAACTTATATACTTTCCCCTATCCAACCGTCCGTTCCGAATGGATGGCTAAGATGGCCCCAATTACAATATCAGTTCTCTACACTATTTTTTTTATTTTATAAAGAACATTTTGAGACCAAATTTTGAGCATCCACTCCTCTCTTAAACTCGCACCTATAAAAAAATTCCCTTGAAATAACAAAAAATGCCCCTGAAAATTTCAGGGTATTTTGGTTATTGTTTATCAAAAATATTTTTTTAATATTGTGCTTAGGTGCATCCAATTGAGATGATGACACATATCAAATTTCATATTCATTTAATTTGTGGAAAAAAATTAAAAATAAAATACTTTGAGACGTCAGATCTATATCAAATGGTCAGTGGTTCACTGGATCTAAATTGGACGGTAGGATGGGTGGGGGGGGGGGGGTAATTATATATCTTCTATACAACAGGGAAAATATAGAAACATTTCCCTTCTCTTATACCATAGTTTCTTGTCAGTTTATCTTTAAATAGTAAATTCATTGAGGCTTCTTTGCAACCGACCCCAAATAATTGAGAAAAAGGCTATGACGATGATGGTTGATACCTTAATGCCTCATTGTACTTAAACATGTACTAATAGAAGATTGTTCGACGTTGATGATGATGATTGATCCCTTAACGCCTCTTAGGAAACCAAAGAACTCTGGGACATCCATCGTGAACCCTAAACCAGGAACTCTAGAAACCAATATCCCTAAACCTCAAACCTTACTTTCTAAGAAGTCCTAAATGTTCAAAAATATTTCGAATATAAACAACACTTAATCCCTAAGACACATTAGTTTTTTATCTTTTTATTTTGGCCTCCTTAGGAGTATTTTCCTAGACCCAAATTTTGGAGATATAATATCTGCTCATACTTAAAACCAACCTAACCTGGGGGCAAAAAAAAAAAACACACGCACACACAACTGTGTAAGATGCTTTTGAACATTGACCTTAAAATTTACCACCTTAAGAGTCAAACACCAAAATTGGACACAATCCGATCCATTTCTTGATCGTCAAATCTAAATGTTTAAGAACCCAAATTAAGTTTTAACTTATTCATATGGCGATTTTTAGGCTATCTAAATTTCCCTAGAAATAAGGAACTTTTGAAATTTCTCCATATCAGCAACATAAGTAAGTTTTACTCTATAATCCATGACTTTGAAATCTAGAACTTGAATGTATGGTGTAATCTCTCTCTCTCTCAAAAACATATATTAAAGAATCTGTGTTGTTAAGCATTGAACATAAATGTTGGTATAGTTTGTATTGATGTGGGAAACAATGAACAGGAAATCGATTTATTGTATTTTCGACATGGATGAAAATCAGATGATTTACAAACGGTTTTAAAACATAGATTGTCTTGGTGAATCAGACCTCCACTATACTGCTTTGAAGTCGCCAAATTACATGATTTGGATTAGCCGAATCAGCAACCTAGCCAAAAAAAGAAAAAAAAGAACAGTAAATAAAGAAAAACAAAAAAGAAGTAGCATAAGGTATCTTCTCCATTTTGAATACATATAAAAAGGAAATAATGCATTTTAGAGAAAATAAAGTTGATTCCCATTATTAGCAGATAATTGACCTAATAACTTACCAAACCCAATCTGAATTTGTGATTTTTTAAAATCATAATTAGAATTTGGGAACGTGTTGAAATAAATATGTAGGTGTATACCATGTTCATATAGGAGCATATTATATATCTTCTACCTTGGGCAGATGATTTGCTTGGGTTAATTTTTTCTTAAATTGAAATTTTAACAATCACCTAAATATCACAAGATGATTATTCAAGAGAGAAATTTTTGAAATTTAAGTGTTCTCCAGCTTATATCTCACTCTCAAAAAACTTGACGATTTCTGTTCAACCTCGCGACATCATTTTTTTCAAATACATAGATTGAGTTTTGGAAATCATTTTTATTGAAGTTAGTCCATGGGTTGAAGAGGTTACATCTCTAAAACTTCCAGTCCTAAAATTACTGTTAAATTTAGTTTTGTCTGAGGGAGTAAATAGACAATATGCTCCAGCGGAAACATAATTCGGCAATGGGTGAGAACTTACATGGGAAGAGTACGAGGGGGGAAATAAAGGTTCAAAGTCCAGTACAGTACAGAGAGAGATTGTTTGCTGTCCGCATGGTAACCATTTGCTCCCTCAGGTAAAAAAAAAAGGGTATTTTCACAATATGTAAAGTATTCAACCCAGCAAGTAACCTCAACAAAGAAATTCCAAATCACACACTCTATGTGCTTGTAAAAAAATATCCCAAGATTAAACCTAAACCATCTAATTTGTGGAGAGCAATATCTAATTGTTAAAGAACTCAAAATTCAACTTTATCTCTTTTAAAAATAATGGTCTAGCAGATCTACACAGATTCAATATTGCATAAAAAAAGAATATTTTAAATAGTGCTTTTGCCTAGGGGAGTTAATAGATAGTATGCTCCTGTGAGAGCCTACTCTACAAGAGACCAACATTAAGAGAGATAGATTTATAACATGGCAAGCTTTCTATGTTTTCCCTAGTGCAACATACGACCTCGATCACAATGTCACGTCTTTACGTTATTTTATTTTTAATTTTTTTTCAACAAAATATTTTGACACTAAATTTTGGTCGTCCACTCCTCTCTTAAACTCGCGGATGTAAAAAATATAATTCCCAATAAAATAAAATAACCAAAATATATCTAAAATTTGAAGGAGATTTTTAGGAAACATTACTAAAAATACCCTAAATTGTACTTTCTAAATACTTTACCCCCACCTAAATTTTTCTCCCTAAAATTTCTCAAATTTAACTTTTATAACTACTACCCCCCCTCGCCCACCCCCCAAACTCAAAAAAATTGAAAAAAAAGACAAGTTTGCCCTTCCCTTTTTAACCTACCAATGTTACACTCCGGCACGTATAGAATGCACTCCGGAGAATAGTTCATTATTAAATAGGCAGTCCGACACCTGTAAAACGCGCTCCGGCATCTTTAGAATTCACTCCGACAATTGATGAACTCGCTCTTGCGAATAGTTGATTGTAAAATCAGCACCTGTAAAACACACTCCGGCATTTAGTAAACTTGCTCCGGTGGGTAGTTCACTATAAAATAACAACTCCGACACTTGTGAAGAGCGCTCCGGCATGTGAAGAACATCGAACCGGCAGTTTCCTCCCTGGAAATTTTGCAGTCCGAGGATTCACCGCATCACCCCGGCGATATGCTTCCTAGAAACACAGGCACTATGGCGAATACACTGAAGTAGTCCGGCATAGTTGAATATGGCTACGTCAAATAGTCTGGAGTTTTGGAGCTTCAATCCGGTAATTACGTTTCCAACGGGTCAGTCCAGTCATGTCTCTGAGCGGTCTGGCGATTTGTTGAATGTGTGGACCGGTGATTTGTAATATAACTCCGGTAATGTTACTACTGGAGTGGGTTCAGTCCAGTGTTTTAGATATTCGATCCGGCATATTATTGTCTCATAAGCACTCTGGTAGTTTAAAAACTCAGTCTGGTGAAAGGTTTATTAGGGTCCGTCCAAAGGATTTGGTCGTATGTTCAGGGTATGGGAAGGGGTATTTTTGTTAAACAAAGTATACATTTTTGAGATGGGGGGTATTAGTTAGACAAGATGGTTTTTACCAAAAAGAAGTGACAAAAGATTGGGGTGGGGGTAAAGTGTTTAAAAAGTACAATTTGGGGTGTTTTTAGTAATTTTTCCTATATTTTATTAAAAAAAAAAAATTTTATATTTTTTTAGGTGTGTCCCATTGAGAAGATGACACATATCAAATTTCATATTTATACAATTTATAAATAAATAAAAAAACTAAAAATAAAATACTCTAAGACGTCTTATCTAAATCAAATGGTCAGTGACACACTTGGTCTAAATTGGATGGCTGGATGAGGGAAGCAGGAGCTATTTATCAAATATGCGGTAAAACAAACCTTTGGACATGTATACAAACCTTTCCCTTATAACATTCGTGTATAGAACAAGTAAATGAGATAGAGAGAGAGACAGAGAGATATCATTATAACATTTCTATCTAGAACAAGAAAATGAAAGGCATCTGATGTAAAAGGAGGCAGACAACATGTTACATAAGAAAACAATAGCAAAAAAGGGCACACAATGCAGGGGGGATGACCTGGTCACAATCTCACCACCTTGCACGTGGCCACCATATGATATGCCCCCTTTACTTCCTCATAACAATCTCATCATGATTCAATACTTTTGCACCATGAGACCCTATATCATCTTTATTATGAGGAGTTTTTTTCTCATTATTTGGAACTCATTATATAAATCTTCTGTATGTCATTATGCTTTATTAAAGATAAAAAAATTAATCATTATATAATAATATAAATAAATATATTTTTCATCAAAATCGACCGAAACCATTTACCAAAACATAAAAAAATCAACTAAAGCTTCCAAAGTTTCATTTCTTCTAGAAATTACTCAAACAAATGCTGGCCAATCACATTAGCTTATGTACTATAAGAAACTTAGTGATAGCGAGTCCATATAAACCATAGATTTTAAATTTGCCTTCTTTTCCCTTCTTTTCTTTTCTAAACATTCTTCCTTTATAACTAATGAATTCAACCAAAAATCAGAAATGAAAGAACTGGTTAACAAAATACCTAAAATCCAATAGAATTTGAGACTACTAGTCTGCAACAACTATTCATAGGATTTTTTTATTAGTTAATTTGAATTAGTCGATGAATAACCATCTGTTTTGGCTATCTTAACGAACTTAATCTAATCTGATGCTGATTTTTTTACCGTTGCCCCTTCTCAAGCAATAGACCAGTACCCTGCAAATAAGTAGCCACAGGAGAGAGAGCGAGAGAGAGAGAGAGAGAGAGTTGGTTCTTTGATAGAGAAAGATACCCAAATGGGCATTCCTCTCCATCATTCCTCTGCTCCTAACACCATCGACACTAGCTCTGATAGCTACACAAGCACGACCAACACTGATAGTTTCAATGCTTGTAACAATGGCAGCCATTTGAGCTTACCCAACAATTACAATCCCAGTTACCTCTTCGTCTATGGCTCCTCAAGACCTGACGCACCAGGGAGCTCCCTACCACTCTCTGGTTATTCGAGCAGACGAGCATGGCTTCTCGGTAGCCGACTCTACTCTTTCGTAGTAAGTATATTTCTCCTCTTTTCCTTATTTCCTCTGTTTTCTTGGTTTTTTCCTCTCTCTGTTTTGGTTCGGTGGCTAGTTGGGTTTCCTTTTTTTTTTTCCTCTTTGGTATTTTACATGTGTTTAACTGATTTGGGGCTTAAGTTTTCTGTCTTTTGATGATAAATAGGAAGTGGGTTGGCTATGCTTTCTGTTTTATTATTGTTATGAATTTAGTTTTTTATTGAATTGCTTCAATTCTCTTGAATTCTGTATATATATGCATAGATTGGGTGCTTTGAAATGTTCTGAACTTCTGATTTTGATGATGGATGTGTCATGGACGAGATATATTTGTTCGGTGTCTTGGGTTATTTGTCATGGGCTTAAAATTATCAACTTTTGTTATGATACCTTTCCTATATGATGTTAGGTTCGATAATTCAGTCATATTTGAATAATGAACAGGAGGAAACCTTTTTTTCATTTTTTTGGGTATGTTCTAAATCTTTTTTTTTATAGGAAGGATATGCTCTAAATCTGACCAGGTTTCAGGATAAACATTTCAGTTTGGTGCTATTGAATTCTGAAATCTAACTGTGTATATCATTTTAGATTTTCGGTGTGCTGTTATTTTTTGGGTTCCCACTTTTTTATTTTTTATATCTTTTGTTCTGTCTAGTATTAGTTGTGTATGCTTCTCCTAGTTTAATAAGTGGGAGTTTCATAAAATTGTTTTGAAAAGTGGAGTTTCTAGATTTTTGAGAAGCTAGAGAATCATTAGGAAGTCTATTCCAAAACCGGTCTTTATGGTGTTTACATCAACATTTACCTCTGGGGCCTATTTTTCAGTTCTATTTCTAGCAATGGAAAAACCAATATAAGGGTCCAAACTGATCTTTGCGGCTAAAGATCAGATTCTGAAATCTCCTTATTGAGAGGTAGATTGAAGTGTAGTTGGCTCTCTCATCTTCTTATTGTGGGTATTACAGGTAGATTGAAATGTGGTTGGCTCTCTCATCTTCTTATTGCGGGTATTACATGATGGATAATCCTGAATGTGATGAAAATTGTAAGCTTTTGAAATCTAGCATTATTGTTATATAAAATCTCTCAACAAGAAAAGGAAGGAGCTTCTATCTGTCTTTCTCAACAGTCTTAAAAATTAACAAATAATAATGACAAAATGTATTAAGGACCCGCTATTCAACAGCTTTCAGGACATCAGATCTAAACTGCTACTAACATGGCCACCAAGTAAAATACTAGTCGAGCAGCATAATTTAGCATGACAAACGATGCAAACAGAATGCATCCCTGCATACATGTGTCTGCATAAATAGCATGCTCTTACGAAACATATCTATGTATGTAATATGCATGTAGTCACTCTATGGATGATGTTGGATGTGCCTAGAAGGCTCCAGATATAGGAAGGCATATTTCGAGAACTTAGGCTCCCAAATATTAGGAAGGACAAGGATGCCTCCAGCCTTGACGATCAATAAAAAAAAAATCTATGGATGCAGAAGCTATAGATATTCCTAGTGAGCTAAGTATATTCAATTTGTGGCTTTTGTTTGTTGTAGGATGTTCCTTGAATGTGATCCCTTGGGCTATTAGGGATGGTCTTATTTTGTGGTGGTATGGGCTTATGCTTGAAGAGATCAAAGAGCTGGTCAGCTCTATTGAGGTTTCTTTTAGATTTATAAGAAGCTGAATTTCTAATGTTTGTTCAAGGTTTGGGATGTTTACTGTATATCTCTTGTGCCCCTTTTCTAACTGAACAGTGAAAGTAACTTATCAAAGAATGAAATAATTGTGCAATTCCAATAGATTGAATACAGGTACTTAAGTGAATGTGCATAGGGGTGACACCAAGTCAGGTCGGGTCCAGGTCCGGCTAGTCGTCGGGTCCACGTCCATTGCCACCCCTAAATGTGCAGTATCATATAAATAGAACATAGGCCGAAATGCAAAATAAAATTTTGCTGGTCAATATGCACGGATATTGGACTTAATAAATGAGGATTATTTCCTTATGAGAACGTCCTGTATAATATTGTGTGAATATGCATTGAAACTAGAGCTGCATGAACAAATCTCAGGAGTCCAAAGATCAGAGGTCTGAGATCCATTTGTAATCTCATTTAGCAGAAATTTTAGATGCCATATAAAAGTGCATGTATATTTTTTGCGCATTGGTTTGACCAAACCACCTTTAAGAGCCTTTTATTCTTAAAAGCTATAATGCATGGTTTAGCTATCAGATTATTGTATGCATGTTTTGGAACTATCGGCTCTTGAGGGCTCAAATAAATCAGTTTGATTTGTGTTAAGATATCGCATAAAATAAATATATCTGGATGAAGTCTGTGTTTGATACACATTTGTAGTTTTGTGCTTCTTTTTTTTTTTTTATTCCTTGTTGATGAGCCAAAGATTTGCTTCTGTTCTTGTATAACTATGGGGGCTTCAGACGGTTCTTTCCTTGGAATACTAAACAAAGGCAGCACAAGTTATTTGAGCATGTCATTGTAAAATCAGCTTCAGAAATGTATAACAGATTCTTCAATAAATAATTGATACTTTTCATTCCCTTCTCTTCCATTCTTTGTGAAGATATTGGCTTTCAACTAAACAGAAATCATACTTCCGTGACCAAAGGATTTGCTTAAAGCCTCAGTTGGTTATCACTGCAGCAACAAAGTATTCTTAAGGTTAGTAGGAAAGGAAAATATATTTGATACACATTTGGTTTTTTGGTGTTTTTGTTTGCTAAAAAACTACAAAAACTTAGTAGTGTGCTTTAGTTGGCTCCATGGTTTTATCATGCGAGAGTAGCTATCTTATAAAAATATATGTGGCCTTGTGGTGTGGAGTTCAAATGTGAAAATGGTATTCATGAGTCTAAGGACATCATATGTGGGGCTAATATTTCGTTCTAAATATTACATATTTTGTGTCGCTGGTGTCAATTCTGGCACAAGGCTGCAATTTTTGGATTATATGGTGATTAACTGTTCTATTATACATATAATTAATCCATTTGGATGGATTAGTAAAGATTTGATCATTTAGTGGAAGTAATACCAAAATAGGCAAAATTTTCTAGTTGAACTGTTAAATTATGAATAAGTTACAAATGAAATTTTAACAGTATAATTGATCATGCAGTTGAAAATGAAATTGTGTATTAATCACGGGTTTAACAGATTTTTCTTTTAGTGATTTGAATGTCACTAGGTTGTTTGTTCCTGATTTGCCAATGACTGCACTTCATTCTATTCTGCAAAGCAGTTACTGTGATATGACAGTTTAATCTTTTAATCGAAGCTAACATGGATGTTAGAGAAATGAAGTTCAGAGTAAAACTTGGAACTGAATCAACACACAAATCAAGTCTAGTTTTACCGACAATTGTGCAGCGATTTTGAATGTCGTTTTTATTTGTTTCGCTTTAAAATGTAAAGGATAGTTTCTTTTGTCTCTTCCAATTAAATGGTAGTTCCACTAGCTATTTTTTCTATGATTGGTAGTTAGAATAACTACCTTATGATCACTCATATATTCAGATCAATCATCATCATCATCTTCGTCGTCGTCATCATCGTGATCATCCTCCGAGCCTTATCCCAACTATTTGGGTTCGGCCACACATGTTCCACCATTGTTCTCAGGTTCGGGATTATGTAAAAAGATGCGAAAAAGTTTTACGCTGGCTGCTCTACCTAGCACAACCCTCCTCCTTTATCCGACATTACTGGCTTGGGACTGGCCACGGCGGAGTTACTCATATGTTCAAATCCAATGACCACAAATTAGGGGCAATAAATGTCAAAATGATTGCTTCAAAGATATAGCTCTTTTGATATTCAAAATCTCTTAGGTTGTATCATTTGTTAATGACAAAACTTTCATCTTGGAAAGGAAAAGAGTTATATTTCCTAGACTAATCATAAGATGATATATGAATGAGGATCATGAATGCATGCTATGCTCGTACATGATGCGTTTATCATGACTTCAAGGGAGTGATTGAGCTTATTCAGTTACTAGTTTTGGGCACACTTGATTAGTCCATTAGCCTCAGATGCATTTAACCTCTTTTACGGATGATAAGGAAAGTGATTGTTTTCCTTGGTATACCTATGTTCTCATGGAAATTCTCCTTTTTCTTACTCTTATGTTGCATGGTTTTAGGCAGGAGGCATCTACCGAGCAGCTGTTAAACTCGATGAATCCGGTAATGCCGTGACTGGATATGCAGTTTCTGCTGATAATTCTTTGGGCATTGCGATGCTGTTGGATGAATATGAGAGAAGAGAATTCTCTCCAGAGTTTTATCAGAAGAATATAGTGCAGGTAAATTTATCCTTCTGCCTGCCATTGAGGAAAACATTATCCAAGTGTATATTTTGTAGATCAGGTTACTGGTGCATAGAAGTTCTTGGAATTTCCTCAGGTCTTTAATGCAGTTCATAATCTATTGGCATGTGTTTATGGGTGTGTAATTAAAACATCTGATTGTCTGAACTTCTATGAAACTCTAATGGATACTCACTGATGTAACAAAAACTTCATAGCTAAGACCAAGTTGAGGAAAGAATGAAGAGTGCTCCATTTCCATCTAAACGTGGGCTTCAAATGACTCTCATAGATCTTTTGAAGAGATTAAAATATTCTGATATTGTAATTTACCAAAACAAAGAAAAACAAAATGTTTTGTATGTTACATAGGTTAAATTTGCAGTTTTGAAGTGAGAAAAATCAGCTGAAGTAGAGATCTGAACCTAATGGGTTTTCAGGTAAGTAGGATGCATTTTAACAGCTTCCACAATGAACATGTATGTAGATAACCAGTAAACATGAGGATTATTGTTATGCATCCTATAGAATTCAACTTCATTAGTTGTATGGGTGAGTAATACCCTAAGACGAATGGTTGCTTTGGAAGATGAGTTTTTTCAAAATTGGAAACTGTTAAATTGTTGTCGCAATAGATAGTTTTTCAGGTTAATAATTTCTTTATGAGTCATTTATATTTTCTTATTCATGTGGATAATTTTTAAAGAATGAGAGAAATCTATGTATAAGTCTTCACAGCACAAAATGCATTTGCAAAAAATGCATTTGCAAAAAATGCATTTGCAAAAACAACATAGAATTGTACTCCACTGCAGAAACCACTTTTTGTTCAAACTACAAGGGTATGTGATAGACTTTGGTGAAATAATGCAAATGAAAACATAGATTTTACTACTCTAATAACATGTGTTCTCCAAACTAGAGAAGATATAACCTATTAGGCGATGACCTTTTCCTCTACAAAGTTCAATCTCAAATCTGTCTTTAGATGATTGCTTCAAATTTCTCACATTAGCAACTTATATTAAAATGATCACCTGAAAGAGCTAATTGTATTCATAGCCGGGGTAAAAGTACACCCTGTACAAGTGGTTTCAAAGATTTGCAAACAAATCTTGTGTTATCACATTTTTATACACATAAACAAACAAATATATCTGTGCATAAAGAGCATTTCCAAGATGACATTAAGAGAAATCTAGCACTTGTCCTTGACATGAAAATTCATACTTTTTTTTTTAAATCACACGTGTATTTTATGTACTTAAATATATGAATCGCTTATATTGAAACAATAATAATATGAAGTGTTATTATTCTCATGAAGTTCCATTCGTCTTTGCAGGTTATTACGGATAGAGGAGAGCGGCTTTCATCATATATATATCATAGAACAGATTTGAACCCAAATAACATTATCTCATCTGGTGATTGGTTCCTTCAGTAATGACAAGAAATGGTGGCACATGATGGTTCTTTGGAAATTGTTGCATGTACATATAGGTATTTCTTTTTGTTCTTCTCATGGTCATTTATGTATAGAAGGGCTGATTGGGGTGAATATTCTCGATCGTGTATAATATGGGCAGGCCTGGATGAAGCGAACTCCTTCCATATGTTTGGCAGCAGCTCACTTAACTTTATTTTACATTATTTGTTGTCCATGGAAGATGAAAATAAAGAGAAGTGGTTTGTGTGCTTATTTGTAAAAACCTAGCATAAGTTCAGAAACAAATTTGTATGTTGGTTGAAGGCTGAGTGGTAAGTAATGAATGTGGGTGATTGTGATCGAGTATGTAAGTTATGATCTCCAGCCTCATTCCTATAATTCTGAAATATGTTGCTATAAAAGTATATATGTGGCTCTGGAAAATCTTTTTGAAAATGACATGGGCTTAAATTCTTTGCATGTTCTGGAATATCGTCTATGGTGCCTTTGACACCATGGATGAAATGGGCTTAAACTTTCTCTCTCTCTCTCTCTCTTTCTCTCTCTCTCAAATAGACAGTTTGCATTCACTATTCGGGCCGTTATATTTTGGAATATGTTTTGGCACCGTTTTTCTTCCATTCTTTATTTCTTTTTCAAGGATTGAACAACCAGAAATAATAAAGATTGTCAGCATACCACATAAGTAGGTAAACCTAAATCAGCAATTGTACACTACTCCAGTAGGAGTGTATAATCCTTTTACTTACCAAGAAAGAATGATGCATCCCAAATACTTCTAAGCTGAAATTACATAAGATAGAAAGACAGTTTCATTCTAATCCTTGAAGAATGGTGCCATCTCAAATACTTCCTAAAGAAGCTTATATACACTTTGAGTGTCGGGCAAAGGATTGCAATCCACACCCATGGAACCATTTGGACTTTCAAATAACTCCATTAAAGAATGAAGTTATATGGAAATAATGGCAAAACATATTTCCTCATGGAAAAATATACAAAGAGACCATTTACTTTTTGTGTAAGGAGGTCACGATCACTCTTGTCCTTTGGATTTCAAATTGAGTGGTTGTAAGAGTGTCATTGAAAAAACTCAAATTTCACAAAAAATATGTCGGACTTTATAACTAAGCCCAAGCCATCCAATTTGGCATCTAACGAGTACCGAGTAATTGTGACCTCTTTGTAATAAAGATAAATAGTCTCGTTGTATACAATCCCTTTCACACGGGGTCATGCCTTTTAGCAATGCTTTCTTAGTACATGCGGAAGAGAAAAGTTCATATCTTTGAGCAGAGGAGTGGAATGAATATTGTCTTTCGAAATAGACAGGGAGTGTAAAAGAACTTTATTTGTTCACAAATGGTCTGTCCAAACAGGGCCACAGAGACCGATGACAATTGAAACATGGATTCTTTTGATTTGTAAGTACTATGTCTCAATGGAGTAATTCATGAATAAGGGAAATAGCTCCAAAGGAATTAAGGAAAAAGTTTATATAAGGTTGCGACCTTATACTATAGAAGTAAAGTTCACCTTAAAAATCCAATAAATGTTAAGTTGGAAAACACTTCCTATTGATCATCGCAACCTTGAGATGTATGGATATAAGAACAAAGAATAATATCAAGTTCTAAGCATAGTAAATCTTGTAACAAGTTATCTGAACTGTCTATTTTTTAAGATTTTTAAGTGTTCATGGATCTGCTTGATCTACACTATTATTGAAATTTTAAATTTCATAACTAGAGTTGAACATGAATTTTCAAAGCATCATAAGGTTTTCTACACGAGAATTATATCTTCTAGCAAAATTTAAAGGTGTGCACCTCATGCAAATTTCACCCTTTTAAAAATGCAGCCCAAGACAAGAACAACAAACATTACTTATTAGTTTTGGGCAAGCTTTCTATGCTTCCTCTACTGCATAAAACTTATATACTTCCTCTTATCCAACCTTCCATTCTGGATGGAGGGCTAAAAATGCCCCAATCACAATTTCAGGTCTCTAAACTATTTTATTTTTAATTTTTTTTTTATAATTTATTTTGACACCAAATTTTGGATATCCAATCCTCTATTAAACTCGCACTAGAGAGAAATATATAAAAAATATTTTTAATAAAATAAAATGACCAAAATACCCTTGAAATTTGCAAGGGGTATTTTGGTCATTATATTTTATTAAAAAATTATTTTAAATATTTTTTTATTGGTGCGCCCCAATGACAAGATGGCATGTACCAAATTTCATATTCACACAATTTGTATAAAAAAATTAAAAATAAAATACTTTGAGACGTCGGATCTAAGATCAAACGGTGAGTAGCTCTCTTGATCAAAATTGGATGTTTGGATGGTAGGGAAAACATAGATCTTCTATGCTATAGGGGAAGTATAGAAACCATTCTCATTAGTCTCAGAGGGAACCATTCTTACTTTTTTGTGGAGAAATACGTTGAGTTATGTAAGAACAACTCGGAGCTTCATTAATAACGGATTTGCACAGGAAGCTTTGAATAGAAAGAACCAATCTCTCTCTACTACGGGCTTATTTTAAATGGTTACCGGTTGAGCCTGTGTCCCCATTTTGTGACAGCATGAGTGAATGAATCTCAGCCCTCCCTTTTAGCCCGTGTCCCCATTTTGTGACAGCTTGAGTGAATGAATCTCAGCCCTCCATTTTAAATCAATAGTTAAAAGGTGGGGGAGGATAGAACTTCTATCATAGAAAGCTTTCCCGAGGGAGAATGGGGTTGGTGGGGAATATATTGCACATCCAAACTGGCCTTAGAGAGTGTTCAAAATTCTTCTCTTTGCTTAAACCCTAAACCCTAGTTCAATATACGAGACCTAGGGTATTAAGACTTATGTTGAAGGTTTAAAAATCTTCGTTGTAATATATATTGAGGCCACTATAGAGCTCTCTGAAAATTTACGCGAAAGCCACAGCTGAACCTACTTACTCGATCAATGGCTCTTAGAACCAGGCATTTCAGAGAGATTTTTAGGGTTTCTTCTCGAATATACTGTTTGGGTAATCTCATATTTTCATTCCTAGTTATATTTTATCCTTCATTGCAATTTTCACTGTTAATGCTTTATTCATTACCTAATTTTATTTTTGTTTGGATATTCTCTTTTAGGTTCTCAATAGAGTTTGGGCTGTCAAGTGACTTTCCTCTTGAAGAAGATCTGCTGCCACTCTTTGAGTTTTCTCTTAATGAAGGAGAAGGTAAACTCCCATCTTTAGGGTTTTTTTCGGTAATGTTTGTCAACATGACAGTACTGCCTTTTATCTCTCCTAAGAAGTTCATTTTTGTATTTTATTTATTTACGGTTGAAATGCCATGTATTTAAGTGACTGTTTTATTAAGTTGTTTCAAATCATTTTCGGACCTCCTGACCACAGTATAGCAGTATCCCAAGAATTTAGTAGGTTTTCCTATTGTCTACATCACCATATTCCATATTACTAGATGTACTCTTTAGCCTAGTTTCCTAATTTATAACTGAAAATGAGACATACATCATATATATTAAAATTGAATTGCAACCATGTTGGGAACTGCTTTGCTTTCTAAGGTTTTATTACTTCTGGCACAAACATTTTTCAGTAGCTAGCCCAAGAGCCAAAGGTTGGTGTGAGGGTAAAAAACTTGGGTAGCCAGCCTAAGAGTGCAGGTTCGAGTCCTGAAAGCGGCCAATTTATGAATAAAAAGCCAAAGGTTAAGACCGTTTATAGCTCATCCCTCCTGGAACCCACGTAAGCAGGTTATTATGACTGTTTCCAGCTCATCCCTACTGGGACCTGCGTAAGCAGATTACGGCCCTTATTTATGATGCATCCTGTATATGCATATTTAAATTTTAAAAGATCATGGAATGGATTTTTTATTGATTGGGTTGTGGTGCGGAGGATTCAACGAAAGGGAGGATTCTTGACTTTAAGGAGATTGAAATTACAGGGGGCGTTGTTATTGAGTGACTGGTGCAAGAGGTCTTTAGGATGTCCCATGACCTAATGATGGTTATGGGGTAACTATTCATTATTTAGAACTTAGTTCACACCAATGGTTTAAAAACCGGATCAGTGACCCGGATCGGGCTTTCCAAAAACCGATCCGGATCGGCGAATCGGCGATACGGATCGGCGAATCAGCGATCCGGATCGGAATCGGGTGAATCGGTCAGAATAAAGTTT